TGCAATTTCAAGCATACCAAAAAATAGAGAATATAGTAATGAACATCCATTAACCCATCACCAGAATTTACCAACTTAACATTTTGCCACATTTGCTTCATCTTTTTTTTCTAAGTATTTTAAAGTAAATACATGATGTATCATGACATTTTGTCATTATAGTCTTTGTGTTTTAGTACTAAAAGCTAAAGACATTTTCCTAAAGTCACCATAATATCACATCTGATAAAATTGGCAATTCCCAAATATCACCTATGCCCATTCTGTGTTTTGTTTTCTCCATTTTTCCACAAAAGGTCTTTTACATCTGGTTTGTTCTATCAAGGACCACACACTGCATGTAAAGGTAGGCCCATAAGGATATTTTAATCATTCTAGAATAGCCCTTTTCCTCTTTTTTTTTTTTTTTTTCTGTTATTCAGTGAATAAACTGCTAGCTAATCTTTATCCCTACTCATGTGGGATAACATTAGTTCAAGACCAGTGACACTACTAAGGAGTTGGAATGATGTTGTACCTTTATGTTCAGAATGATTCAGTCTCATAGGGTCCCAAATCCATGATTTGCAGCTAATAAATCATTCCAGCACCAGCTAGAATGCACAAGAAGCCAGTGTCACAAGTGCTAGAGAAACGAGAGCTACTTCGGATCTGGGCTTTGTGCATATTTACTTAATAGCTTCTCCATCTTGTCTTCAGAAAGTCACTGGAAGAGCTAGAATTCATTTTAACAGTGACTCTCTGGATCTCTGTAGGCTTGAGTCTTCAGGATTTGGTAATTTTACCTTGCCCATTTTCTTGTGTTTCATTCTTTTACTAGCTTTTTCCTTATCCTTTTAGGACTCTGGGTTTTGATAGAGTTTTTGAACAATAAAATGGCATTTTTAAGCTAACTTACTTACAATGTTAATTCAGTATCAGTAGGACACACAAATTTGCATTTGGAGGTTTAAGCCCACGATTCAGAAAAATCTCTTTTAGTCTTTATTCACAAATAGTTCTTAGGCTTTATTTACATTTAAGAGAAAGGGGAAAAGAGCGGTTTTTTTAAATTCCTTTAGCAGAGTCCTGAATGCAGTAACTGGCTGAATTTAAATCATAGTATGTAAATACAGAGTCTGAATTTTCCTTAGGAGTTGCTAATTGCTCTTAGTAGCTTTTAAGATTGAATTATTAGGACTTCCAGTGATTACAATTCCAGGCCATACACCAGTTGAGTAAGACTGTCCTGTGGGTTCAGTCACCTGTGATGAGGGGAGAGGGGGGCATTGGAAATGGGGCTGGTGGAAAAGAGGAAAGTTCCCTCTGTGAGGCCACAGAAGGTTCAGAAAAAGTACTGTGAAGTATTTTAGAAACTGTTGCCCAGGAAAGAAAACTGTGTTGGCATGGTAGCAAGACTAGCTGGGCTGCCCTAACAAAATACCATATATTGGGATGGTTTAAACAGCAGACATTTAAGACTCTCAGTTCTGGAGGCTAGAAAGTCCAAGATCATGTTACCATCAGATTAAGTATCTGGTGAGAACCCTCTTTCTTGCTCGCAGTCCTCACTGTCTGCTCATGTGGCCTTTCCTTGGTGTGTGCTCTTGGAGAGCGATCTTTGGTGTCTCTTCTTCCTCATCTAAGGGTATACTAATCCCATTTTAGGGGCCCACCCTCATGACCTCATCTAAACCTGATTACCTCCCAAGACCCCTTCTCCAAATACTATCACGTTGGGGTTAGGGCTTCAATATATGAATTTGGGGAGAACATAAACATTCAGTCCGTGACTCCAAAGCATGTGATTTGAAACTGCCCTGGTAGACTCTTAAGAATACTAGACTATTAAGGTACATTATTTGTCAACACTATCTTCATACCTCCCAGAGTTTGCCCTGGGTAGGGATTTCAGTCTTTGCAGATCATCGTGAACCTGTATTGGTTTGGTCACAGTGTTTCAGGCCACCTTAAAGAGAGACTGTTGGCTGTCCCTGTAGTCAGATCGGATTGCTTCTAAGTAACTCTTTTCTCAAATTGACATCATACTGATAGCCAGAAACTGTCCTTTCTGATCATCATGTAAAATAAGATACCATTTACAGGTTGAAGAGAAGGGTTTCTCTTCATTATACGACGAGTTTTGGTGAATTACAGGCGGAAAAAGTTGATTTTGGAACAGGCACAGACGTAATCTTACCCTGACAGGGTTTAATGTGAAGTCACTCTGGCCAGAGAATAATCTTATTAGGGCTTTCATTAAAAGCACGAGGTGTTGGGTTGGTTTTCGGGGGTTTTTTTAATGTCTTCTTATCTATCTTCCTCTTTTCTTTCCTTCCACTTCCATGTTCTCCTTAGCCCAGCTCCCCTCCCCCCCTTCATCATCCTTTAACATTTAAAATGTTTTTGGCTTGGCTGATCCCTCTGGATAGGAACTGAGCTAGGCAGGATATTGATTACCAAATATGGTATTGCTGCTAAAGATGTTAGAGGAATGTGGCTTGTATTCTAAGCCTCCGGCCTCTGAATAAGCTGCCAAACAAATTAGGTCATTTTAACTTCTGAGCTTGCTTTTTTTTTTTTTTTTTTTTAAATAAGGAGCTGGAACTCTGATTTGGAACATGATGGTGTTGTTACTTTAGCTCACACAGGGAGGAGGGATATGAAGAGGGGTTGGGAGTGGAGGGAGACTCAGTTCATCATGTTTTAGGACGGGAGCCACCAGTCCAGGCGGTGTAAAAGGCAAGCATGTTGTGCAGAGCCTCTGTTGACCCTGGAATACCAGTGGAAGAGCTGAGGCATAGAATTCAGATGTGCCGCCTCATTGCCTTCTTGTTACTGAGGCTAGAAGGTCCAGAGGACCACTGACAGGTCCCAGGATGCTCTTCTCCGGTTACAGTGGCCCCAGCCGCCGTGATCAAGTTGATGTGGGCTCAGTTCCTTCTTCACAGGAGGGTTGGTGGAGTTCAGTGCCAGGGAGGACACCCTGAAATTGATGGCAAATCGTTACTATGCGTAGCTCATGGCTTGTCATGTGAATACGCGAGTCCTTCCACAGCATACCTTTAAATGATAGCCAGGGGCTGACGCATTTGTCTTCCAGCAAAGACCACAGCTCTTCGGGTCCATATTTGGAAATATTTATTCTGTTGTGATACTAGCTTTGATAGAGTACAATTCTCTCAAGTGGAAGCGGATGGAAGTAAACTCTGCTTCAGAATACTACTGTGTTCCTTTTCCTCATATACATCTTTGGCAAGATAATACTGAGGTTTCCTAAGTTGAAACAAAAACTGAGACCAGTTAGGGAAAGAATTTCTTTTTACATTTCTTATAACTGGCATCCCCCTTTTTGCTTCTTCTTGTCAGTTAGGGCTGTACAAAGTGGATTCCTTCTTTTCCTGCCCAAACCCCTTTGCCACCTTCAGTGTGTTTCTTCTCAGAGAATGGATAAATCAGGCTCACAAAGAAATTTCACCCACTCCAGGATGTCTGTAGGTCAGGGCTTGGTGGCTTTTGTTGTACCTCCCTGAGGACCTCTCTTGCCTCCTTCCCCCTTATTTCTCTTATTGCTGCTACCATCCAGTCACAGGCTCTTCTTCCCATCTTTGGAGCTGAGCCTGTGAAGTTCAGAGTTGTTCATCCTGGTGCACGGAGTCAAGAGATTCTTACTGATTTCTGGTGGGAATGGCTCTGACTTTTCTTCAAGTGAATCAAGTAGAAAGGGGACTTTGGGGCCCATAGGCCGACATGTGCACTAAATGGAAAACCTGTATTCTTAGGATACTCCTTTTCAGAACTCCACCCCCTTTCCAGAACATACCGTACAGACAAACATGGGACCTGAGCCTGTTATGGATGCACATTTATGCACTATACTGGGATATCTTTTTGTTAACTGTTGCTGGAATACATAGCATTGGAAAATAGATATCATGAGGTTATTCATTATGCTTAGTAATGGAGGCATTCTTTTTTTTTTTTTTTAAGATTTTCTTTATTTGAGAGAGAGCAAGCCCGAGTGGGTGGGGGAAGGGCAGAGGGAGAGGGAGATGCAGAGTCCCCACTGAGTGCAGAGCTGGACTCTGGGCTAGGTCTCAGGATCCTGAGATCGTGACCTGTGCCGAAGGCAGATGCTTAATGAGACTGAGCCACGAAGGTACCCCAATGGAGGCATTCTTGAATGGTGGGAGGGTTTTAGAATAGACTTATCTTGTCCTAAATCTTGTGTTTTTATAATGTTTGTTATGTATTGTTTTAGGTAAACTGCAATATAGGGTCAAGGGTAATTGAAATTACTACCCTGTCTCTGGCCGGTGTAATCTGTTTTCTCTCTAATCATGTAGCTAATAAGCCAGCTGTAATCAAAACTGGGACTTTACCACAACAAGACATTAAAATTTTATGTAAACTTATAAGCTAACTAGAATTAAATGATACTAGCTACATTGAAATCTTAAATCTTAGTTCCTGTTTTACTAACTCAAATACATGTATCACCACGAAGAAAGAGCTCTAGTTAGGGAGGGGAATTTTCTCCCTTTATTTCTAGGTGATGAAACGAAGGCTTTGAAGAATGACATTGTTTTAGGCCAGTGTCAGAACACTACGAAGGGCCTAGATCGCTACGATTTCCAGTATTACACAGAGCTTTACAGGAATCATTTTATTCTTATTGGTATCCATTAATTGAAGTTTTTCACTATGCTAGGAATTTGCTGGTCCATATTTAAAACTTGAACCTAACGTTCAAAACCTAACGTTTCTGTTCAGGAAGAAAAAATAATTGAAAAAACATGTAGGAACTAAATGTTTTAATTAAGTAAACAAAATCTCCCCTGACTTTCTGGACATGTGGTATTACAGGTTTTCATGTATTCTGTGTAAGTAGTGAGAACCCGGGTTCTCGCTGACCTTTTTTTTCTGATAGGCCAGGATTTACTGGTGTGTTTATTTTGTCACCATTCCGGTTTGACTCTAAGGAAATGAAAACATCTTCCATTTGTTCTTTATTTCCAAAGGGCATCCGCTTCGATCCTGAAATTCCGCAAACACTACGACTAGAGTTTGCTAAGGCAAACACGAAGATGGCCAAGAACAAACTAGTAGGGACTCCAAACCCCAGTACTCCTCTGCCCAACACTGTACCTCAGTTCATTGCCAGAGAGCCATGTAAGTTGATCTCCTTTTCATTTTAAAAAAAAAAAAAGAATAACCAAGAATTGTGTGCTGCACGTGAAATTACACCACAGGACGTAGAGCTAAGTGTCATTTTCCATTTCTGTGAAGAGGCTGTGGATTCTTCCTGTCTGAATTCCAAATACAGCAATCTTGTTGATGATTGGCTGTCCTAAATGGGGTGGTTCGGCTAGATTAGAACTGTAACTACTACACAATTTCGTTTGATGTGCTGTAGATTTCCTTAATGTCACCTTGACCTTATTGTGAGGGTGTTCTGTTTGCCTGGGGGTACAAACCCTTCTTTATTTCCCCATCCCTGGATAGGAGAGTCTGTTCTCAGCATTTACTTCATTTGTTGAAGATCATCAGTTCTGTGGCTTGGGAAAAGAGAATATTAAAAGTGAAAGCAGCAGATAAGTTCTATTTTTGAGAACAGTTGAGCCCATAAAATCTAGAAGGAAAAGTAAACACACACAAAGAATTTATATGTTGGAACAATCAGTTCTAGCAAACTAATACTGGTAAATTTAAGGAAATCTAGGGCTTCCTGTTTTAAATTAATTGGGTAAAGACACTGACTAATTGCTAAACAAGTGTCTTACCCCACCTAATGAGCTTATTCCCTTAAATGGCCAGTCTACAGTTTTGCCTTTGATTGAATAACTTGAAAAGGTTGTCTTAATTTTCTTTCTTAAGCTCAGTCAGTAGCATAAGTGAGGCGTGAGATAGGCCTTAACTTTTCTTTTCATTGCGTAGCTATATGTGATTTAATATGGCAGGGCATTCAGGGAATCCCAAGTGACTTGCTGTTATTTGGAATATTTTTGCCCTGTCTTTCTTGATCTTCTTTCCAAACCACATGATCTTGATCTTCCTGCTTTCCTTGACAATACTTTTCAACTTTTCTTATTGAAACTGAAGGGCACATGAGTTTCTTTCTCCCCCCATGTCATGTGTGTGTCAGGTTTAATCAGGTTATTTTGGACGTTATAGCCATTCTGTAGCCCTGTAACTCTTGAGAAAGCTGCCACTTGTCAGTGGAAACTAACAGATAAGAGTTTCTCCTCCAGTGTTTTCTAAAATTTTTCTGTGAGTCCAGAAGTCATAATAAAAAGAAATTTGTTCTTCCATGTCCTAGAGAAACTTGAATCCTTTCTAAACAAAAGTTTCATCTTATGATCCAGTTGCACTATGGGAGGATGAGTGGACATTTCTTACACATTTCTGTATCCGTACAGCATCTAGTTCAGTTACCTTTTGTACATTGTATATATTTAATATTATAGTGGTAAGTGGATAAATATTTTAATTTGGCTATTTGCAGAATTATTCCATTTGTATGCCTCTTCTTTTCCCTCTGAAATGTCTTGATTAAGGCAACAGAAAAGAGGATTTGTAAGATACCTTGATTTAGAAAAGGTAACCTAGAGTACCTCTTTAGTTTTCTAGTGAATTTTCTGCCTCAGATCTGAGAGTGCTTTGAAAAGATGAATTCAGACAGCAAGTATAGTGCTGGTGATACTTTATCCTTTCAATTCTTTATTGAATGCTTTTGTTCTGGGACCTCAGTTTTTTGTTGTTGTTTTTTTTTATCTGTTTCGAAAGCTCTGTGAAATTGGTCGCCAGAAAGGTGATAGCCAGTTCACTACAGGGTATGCAAAAGCAACAGAGATGAACAGACTGGACATCCATGAGTCTCTGAAGTTCTAGGAGAGCTCAGAGCAAAGTTTAGAACACCGCTCTGGCCAGCTCTATCCACCTCCCTTCCCTGTGTACAGAACAGCTCAGAAGTGGTCAGATAATTTCCATGGCACGGGCTGCTTGTGGCAAAACAAACTTGACGTTTAAAAAAAATCCAAAACACTGGCAAATTCTTGAGAAAATAAAAGCATGATTTCTCTTAATACAGCTCCTTTCTACGACACAGGGGTCTTGATGAACAGCAATTCCATTCTGACTCAGATCGACTTTATCGTCCATTACAGTTCCCTCTGGGAATTATGAACTTCCCTGTCACATAGGCAGAATTGTTTTCCTGAAAGCACACTGCAGACTAAGAACCCTGGTGGTTCTTCACTGGCAATTCCAGTTGCACTGTGCCTTTAATGGGTGTTCAAGGTGGTGGTCAGTTCAACCACTGTTGAGTAGACTGCAGTGGAATCTTAGAATTTGTAGGACTGGAGCACCTGGGTGGCTCAGTTGTTAAGCGTCTGCCTTCGGCTCAGGTCATGATCCCGGGGTCCTGGGATCGAGCCCTGCATCGGGCTCCCTGCTCAGCGGGAAGCCTGCTTCTCCCTCTCCCACTCCCCCTGCTTGTGTTCCTTCTCTTGCTGTTCTCTCTGTGTCAAATAAATAAATAAAATCTTTAAAAAAAAAAAAGAATTGTAGGATTGGAAAAACCCTATAGTGGCACCTGGGTAGCTCTGTCAGTTAAGTGTCCAGCTCTTGATTTTGGCTCAGGTCATGATCTCGGGGTTCTGGGTTCGAGTGCCTCTTAGGCTGCACACTCAGTGGGGTGTCTGCTTGAGGATTCTTTCCATCTCCCTCTGCCCCTCCCCCCACTTGCTTGTGCTTTCTCGCATGCGCTCTCTCTCTCTCTCTAAAATAAATAAAATCTTTAAAAAAAAAAAACAAACCCCTATAGACTTCCCTGTTGTGGATGATGAGAGAGGTTTTTAATGTTTCTTTCTGTCAATGTTTTTTTATAGTTGTGGCTGAAAAGTACCCATTGCCATCACTAAAGGAAGAATGTGCTAAGATTCAATTATACAACAAATACTTACTTGAACTCTCGTTTCTCAGATATCTGTTGAACTTTAATGAGCTCTCAGTGTGCTAGACACTGGGAAAAAAGGGGACTGGTTGCTGCCTTAAAAGAGCTATCAGTCCAAGGGATTGGTGGTGGTCAAAGTTGTCAGAAAACTTGGCCCATATAAAGGATGTAAAAGATTTTTTGCAGCTTAGTCCAGATTGCTCCAAATCAGACTTATTTGCCAAGCACCTGCTGTTTGTGCAGAGCATGAAAAATGAGAAAACTAGGTATTGCACTTGCTAAAGGAGATGGTGGCCTGCAATGGAGAACCTTGGCCTTAGACTTGAAGATGTCCGTGAGAGTTCTGGTTCTGCCAGTCATTGTCAAGCTTGTCAAATCATTGTCAAGTTGGACCTTAAACACACTGAACCTTGCTCTGCTCCTGTTCTCTCAGCTACAAAATGGGAATAATACCTTATTCACATGCTTCTTACAAGAGCTAAATAAAGCAAGATCCTAAGATTGTGTTGAGGATTAAGTGGCTGTAATAGATGTAGAGGGCCAGGCAAACATAAAGTATAATCTTTTTTTTTTTAAAGATTTTATTTATTTGACAGAGAGAGATAGCGAGAGCAGGAACACAAGCAGGGGGAGTGGGAGAGGGAGAAGCAGGCTTCCTGCCGAGCAGGGAGCCCGATGTGGGACTCGATCCCGGGACCCCGGGATCATGACCTGAGCCGAAGGCAGACGCTTAACGACTGAGCCACCCAGGCGCCCCATAAAGTATAATCTTAATTTCTTAAAAAAACAATTGAGTCACTTTTCTTTCCTAATTGTTAAAATAGTCATTGATCTTCTGAGGCTTTTCATCACTGTGACTATAGCCAATTGTCTTTGCAAATTAGAAGAAAGGATGAACGAAAGTGTCAACACACAGTCCCAGGAAAGTATTATACTTCCCTAATGAAATTTTTATAATTTTAACTTCTTACTCTCTTGTATATAATGAAGCAAGAAAAACACTGTGAGAAAGTAGGAAGTAAGAGATAACAAAATTTATAAATTACATAAAATTCTAGATTATGCATTTGCTTGTACAGGAAAGTCGTGTTCTGTAGTGTAAGAACTCCACTTTAGAGATGAAAACAGGGCAAGTCACCATCTCTCTGAGTTTTGTTTTCCTTGTCTATAAAATGATGATACTGTGTGCCAGACATTGCTAAGCATTTTACGTGAACTGGATTCTCAGTAGCACTATTTTACAGTTGAAAAATAGGCCTTATTAGGAAGATCCAGTAACTTTGAGGTGTTATGGGTTGAATTGTGTTCTGCCAGAATTCATATGTTGAAATCCCAACAACCACCAGTGGCTCCAGATTAAGTGTATTTGGAGATATAAAGTCTTTAAAGACATCAAATTAAGTGGGGCCATTAGGGTGGGCCCTAATTCAATATGACTAGCTTCCTTAAGAAAAAAAGATGGGCAGGGATGTGTTCACACAGAGGAAAATCCAGGTGAGGACATAGCAAGAAGGTGGCCATCTGCAAGCCAAGTTACAGAGGCCCAGGGGAAGCCAAATCTGCCCCCACCTTGATCTTAGAACTTACAGCCTCTAGAACTGTGAGAAAATTAATTTCTATTGTTTAAACCATCCAGTCTGTGGTAGTTTGTTATGGCAGCCTGAGCAGACTAATACATCAAGTGATAGAGCCTGGATTTAAATTCTGACCTGTTACTTTTGTTTTATAACTTTGATCTAGTTACTTAACCTCTCTGTCTCCATTGTCTCATCTATAAAATGGCAGTAATAATTAAACTTACCCAAAAGGTTGTGAGGATTAAATCAATTGACACGAGAGGGTCACATTCACAAGAGTGAATAATTTCAGTGACTGTTTAACACGTACATGTAAGAATGTATACATTGGGGCATCTGGGTGGCGCAGTGGGTTAAGCATCCGACTCTTGGTTTTGGCTCAGGTCATGATTTCAGGGTTGTGAGATTGAGCCGCGAGTTGGGCTCCATGCTCAACATGGAATCTGCTAACGTTTCTCTCTGCCCCTCCCTGTGCTTGCTCTCCACACCCCCCCCCAAAATAAATAAACCTTTAAAAAAAAAAATTAAGAATGTATATGTTGATATGCCTTCTGTTCTCATAGTTGAGACCTGTAGTTTTTCTGCCTTTGTATACTTAGCATCTGGAACCTAGAAATACATGTGAAGTTAAGATACTGCAG